ATTCAATTTGTTTTTAATAAATTTAAATATACAGTATCTAATTAATCTTGATATTTCTTTCACCATAATCTTAAACACATAGCTGATCGAACTGTTTTCTCACTTAGTTTGTTCCATTTATTAGTTATCATATCACTGCTGACACTAAATATCTGTTCACTTAGAACACTTGTTCCAGGAATTAAAAGATAATCTTGTGTAAATTTTGCAAGATTTAGATAATTTGCCTAATTTATTTGCTACTATTCTAATATATTAATATTTGAATCTGCATGTGGTATTGAGGAATAGATATTTAATTCATTTTGTTGATCTGTATTTATTGGCTTATAAATCTATATTATTATTATAGACTATATAATAGTTTCATACAATGTATTTTAATTAGAAAATAATGCATATTCATTTTCATACTTATTTTTAATAATGTTTTTAATATCAACAATGAGTTGTGGTGAGAAATTAAGTAATTCAAAAAAATAAAACTTAAGTCGTGAATCTAATACTACTAAAGCAAGATGTAAAATATTTGTTTTATTACAATAATTCATAAGTTTTTTTTGCAGCATTATACTTTTGGACAAGCCAAAATAACAGATCATATTTATTTTTAACTTCTTCAAGAGTTTCAAACAGTGTATAATATAAAGGAACAGTCATTGTTAGAGTTAGATATTCTGATACAGACATAATTTTTGTTGCATCTTTGAATAGACGCAGAACTTCAAATAGAAGCTCAATTTTTTTCTAGTCTTCATCTGTAAGTATATATTGATATAATTCTATTTCAGCAAAAGTCATTGAATTCAATACAGCTTTTAGTACTACTGCTCATTCACACATATCATATGTGAAATTCTATCTGGTAACTATGTCAAGAATTGGTTTCATTGCTTTTATATTATATATTAAACAAGTTGTTTTTAGCTTTTTGCGATATAATTGTGATTCTCAAATGCATTTAATTAAATTATATAGTTTATTTAGCTTAACTCCTATAACACTTAATATGCTATAAACTGCAAGGTTTAGAATATGGGTGAAACATCTTATAGATTGTTGATTATAATCAAATTGCAAATCTAATTGTGTCATAAAACTAGTACAAATTTAATATTAGAAGAAGCATTGTCATGTGTAACTGTGATTAACTTTGATAAAATTCTATTAGATTGAAGATAGTCTTTTATATTATTAGCAATTTCAGAACCTGAATATGGTCTATCAATATTTATAAAATCCAAAAGAATATTTTTTAATTTCCAAGATATATTTATATAATGAAGTGTAATTGCTATAAATGATTTGTCATTATTATCTGTTGTCCATATATCAGTTGTTATTGAAAGTTTCCTGAGAATTTTTTGTAATCTTACATAAAGCTTATTATGTTCTTCTTCAAAGTTATTGATAATATGTCTCCTTACCAAATCAGCTGATGATACAATAGCATTAGGTTCTAAATATAAAAATATTTTTTTAAGATCATCATCTTCTATAATATTAAATGGTTGATTGTATTTAATAATCCAATATTTGATAAGATTTTGAAAATGTGTCAAATTAAAAGATTCACGAGGATAATTATTAACAGATGATTGATTTTTTAGCATATCTATAACAGTGATATTTGATTTTTTATTATCTAATTCAGATACCTTTCCTTTATGTATAATAAGGTGTTTTTTAAAACTTGATATTGAGGCTTTAGCATATTTTATTATTTTTTTGTTTTTAGAGCAAAGTTTACATTTAGTATAAGGAGTGTTTTTTTTTTATCAAAGTACTTCTATACGAATGATTTATATATAAAACATTTCTCACTAGTAACAGTTTCTGCTTGAGATAATTTATCATCTTCTAAATTATCAGATCTATTATTATGAGAATCATTATAAGAATTGGCTTGAGGATCATTATAAGAATTAGAATAGAGATTATTATAAGAATTAGCATAAAGATCATTGTAAGAATCAGTATAGGAATCATTAAAAGAATCAGCATGAGGATTATGATAAGAATTAGCATAGGGATCATTATAAGAATCTGTATAGAAATCATATACATAATCATCTATAAAAGATTAGTCTGCATAGAGATATGAATCGTCAGAATCTTCCATTATAATATAGCATATCTCTTTACAAAAAATGAATATTCAAGTTTATATACTTTGCAGAATTTAAGTTTCATATTTTAATTCAATTAATTTATGAAACTTGTTATTCTGAGCCATTATTATTGTGTTTTTAATCTATTTCCAATTTATAATAATATAATTGTGTTCGTTTAGTTGCTAGCCAATGCATGTGTTTCTGCATTTAGTTGAAAATATTATATAGAGCTATCAATCATACTATTGTTAATTATGATTAGCACAGTATTATTTTGTTTATACTTCTTAGCACTTATTATATGTAAGGTTTGGGACAGTAATTATTTTATCGATATTACTCTGAAAAGTCCAGTAATTTGATGCTTTAACATATAAAATAAATATTGTCTTAATTTTCTAATTTAATATAGTTTTTAATGG